TTGCTTCCAGAAAGGCACAATTAACTGAAACAATCAAAAAGAAGTTCAAAGGTTTAAGCTAATTGTGTCTGACTGACTGGGAGAAGTGTACTGAACATTTCACTGCTGGAGTAAYGTGGGATTTCAGTAAATGAAGTTTGTCATTTTACTGATTCTGAATTTGTTAGTAAAAGGAGAAGCGTAGGTGAGSAGGTCTAACCAGGTCATTGGTATTGTTTTAAAATAAACTTGTCAGACAATTTTGTTTTTATGACATTTTTTTAAATACTAGCAAATATCTCTAAAGAAATCTCAACATGGTTAATATTCTTACATCTTATCTTCTACGCTTTCCCTTTATCTGCAAACACAGAAGCAGTAATTTGGCAAACAATTCTTGAACTGTAAGCAGCACAAAATGCTTACATGTGAGTCATATATGTGAATTCTGATGTTTTTGCCACATTTTATATAGGAGCTATAAGAAGTTAAAAAGACCCTTCWCTTCCARWYTGGAAGAGAATATTTTGGAACTAAAATATATATGTTAAATACGTAAAATATATATATGGAAAACTGGAAGCTTGAATGTGCAGGAGGGAGAAAAGTCCTACAGCAGRAAGAGACACAAGGAGGCAAAAATCCATTTGTCTTAATGTATAATTTATACATGTATCAAAATGGTTGTTGAAGGAAGAAGAGTTTGCTTCCAAAGGTTTTGACATTTTCAGACAATTCAGTGGGATATCAGCTGCCAGTCATAATGTAAACATCTGTAAAAAATAAACTGAAGCTGATTGTTTAAAAACCATAAATCCCAGTTTGGTCATATAAAGTCCAACTTTCTTTGGCCCATTAAAACTCTGATTTTTTTAAATCACTTCAGTAAAAAAAGAACTTTTGTCTTCAACATCAGTGATTATTTTAAGTAAAGAGAAAATAGAAAAACAGGGGAAAACAAAGAGAAAAGCAATTAGAAAGATCGAAATAGAGATGAGAAGTATATTAAATATATGATTTACAGATTTTATGAAGAGAAAATCTTTCCCACTAAATTGGTCATGTGACCAGGACATAAAGGTGTGCAGGGACTCCAGGGGATTAATCGTCAAATTAATCGTTATTGGCTAAATACCACAATTAATCGTGATTAAATTTTTTGCCAATATTGCCCAACCCTAGTTATCATCAAGGGGGGATTTAGGGCTTGTGCACCTTTTTAAATAATGTGGATAAACGTGAAGCTAACATCAGGTTGTCAGGCTCACATTGCAAAAATAATAAARCATTAGACTTTGTGTTAAGACTTAACTGGTGTTTATTCTCCCAATCTTTGACTTTTGAGTAAAACTATGTATTTTAATTACCTTCCAGTGCTGTGTTTTAACTTTCTGATTTAACCTMGCTGCTTGTAATTAAATCAAAATGTTAGCCTTGATGTCTAAAATCTCAATAACTGATGCAAGTTTAAACAGAATTACTTAAAATAACTAATTGTAGTCATTTGTGATGAATTTAAGATGCAGTAGTAAAATTGCTGCATTTATGTTTTTAAACAGAATTGCACAATGAAATCCTATTTCACTTTTTTGTTTGTTCTAACACTGTGACACATGGTTAATTTAGCCTTTTTAACCACCTCATGCTTACCTTGGAACAACTGTTGTTTCAATATTATTCTTTCCTAAATCGTTTTCCTCTTTTGTTTAATCCCTTCTTCAGCCCATACAGCATGGAGCTGCATTGTTCCTGCCGCTCACAGCGTGACATTTACAGTCCCACACAAAAGCAGCACAATACATTAATAAACACTCGTCACCAATTCAACTGAAACACCCACAACGGCTGCAGCATCCAATTCGCCCCACTGATTGCTGAGCCAGTTGCCTCTTTGGTAAATGAAATATTTATAGAAGCTCAATTATTGAAGCCTGTTGAGTCTGAGACAGCTGTGCCTGCCAGATGTTTTGAAGGAAGAGCAGTGCAGCGAGGTGAAATGGGCCAATGGGGTGTCAGGAAAAGGAAGTAATATATTTATATATAAAGGAGAAGTTGAGCARAAACAGAATTTGTGTTGATCTGTTAGTGTTAGTATCCCCTGCCACACCCCATATTTTTTTTAATCAGAAAAAGTTTCTTTACAAATGTGTATGTGTTTTATTAAAATCTTAAGGGCATTGTGTTTAATAGCTTTAATAGGGTTTAAATCAATATTAAAGGCTCTAAGACACTGAAGAGAATATAATTTAAAGACTRATATCACATGTTGTTTCAGTGCATTTTTTTCACAAATAGATTTTTTATGTATGTATGTTTTTGTGTGGAGTGTATGTACATTTTTTGTATGTATGTTTTTGTGTGGAG